TTTTTTTTTAAATATTAAGGTGATCACTTTGGGGTCTGGCACAGTTTATTAACTTCTCAGTTCAATTATCAGGATACCAAATAAATGCTCCTTGACTTTGTTACATTAATGAGAGTACAATTGGTTACATGTACAACTTTAGTCATTGTCTAATTAAGGGCTCCATTATATCTATTTCTATCTATAGTTACTCACCAATTGCCATATCTAGGATCTGCTTGTGGATCTTCTATTTAAACCTTCTAATCGACTTAGTGCCATCAGAGGTTTCTCATTAAGAATTTCCTTAGCTATCTGGATACATCTAGTCTGGAATTTGCGATTTTTCTTAGCCTCTCTTTCTGTCTGATCCTGTTCTAGTTTTAAAATTCTAGCCTCTTTTTCTGCCTGATCCTGCTCTAGTTTTAAAATTCTAGCCTCAAGTGCTTCAAGCCTAGCTTTCTCATCAGTTTTCTTAGCCTCAAGTTTAGTGATCAATACTTCAAACCTAGCTTTCTCATCAGTTATCTTAGCCTCAAGTTCAGTGATCAATACTTCAAGATCAGATGACATGATAGATAATATTTTCATACACGAAAGAATTATTCAATGTTACATGGCAAATGTAAAATCGCTTTATTAATACATGCGAAAATAAATACAAGATCGGGACGTAGCCCAGAATACATGACGAATTTTCTATACTAAGACTTAACTACACTATCTGTAAGGTTGCTCGATGACCTATGCTTTTTTATTACCCTTTCTTCACTTCGAGAATCAGAATCCGGCTTCTGCACCTCCTCCAACAACCATGCAATTTGCCCGAGGATTCTTTCAACGTTATTACCCATATTCTTACTATCATATACAACAGTTACCGGCTTCGATAGTTTGAATCTTAGCCTGTCCTGATTATCGAGAGAACACTCTATACCATTCTTTTGCATCTGTGATGATTCCGAAAGTCTTACCTGTAAACACACTTTCTTCCTCCATCTCGCTTGCCTTACGTTTACGGTTCGATAAAGCAGATTCAAGTTGTACAGCATTCTGGGAAATACCCTTAAAAATATCTTCGTCCTTTACTTCTGTCACGCCAACAGTTTTTGCTGTTTGGAGTAAATCTATTGCGAAATCAACTGGTCCGTGCCCATTAGGCCCTGTGATATTTTTTTCTAGTCGAAGCTCGAACTTCCCTTCGTATAGATTCGCTCCGGCAACAAGGTAAGAACATACGTATTGTGATTTTGATGCTTTATTTCCGCTGATTGGAATGGATTTGAGACGGGCATTTAGTTTGGCTATAAGATGTTTAAGTATCGCCTGGGAAGAATCATTTTCCAGATCTTTGATCCCGCAAGTGAAAGGCGGAAAGACAGATAATGAAGGATCCTCTGATTCACAGAGTTCATAAAGCTGGCACACTTTTGGGAAAGTCCAATCCGAGAAAGCTTTTGAGGGTGTTTCTATGAATACGGTAAACTTGAGATTGTTCTTTGATATGAATATGCAGAGCATCTCACGAAGGTCTTGATCATTATGAGGAAAATATTTCTCTCCATCATTCATTAAGTTGAGTTCCGCTCCATCATTTTCAAGTGCTGGTGGATGATACATCTTGCGTATATATATATTCCTTGAGGCCTTCGAGAGTCGCATGTTCGATATTTACAGTCCACTTATTTGGCTTCCGTTTCGGGTGAACAACGACGTCGAAGTCTACAATGTAACGGTCAGTTAGAAAATCCTCACGAAGTCTCTCTTCCAACTATTTTATACATACCATGTGTGGACTTGTTGAGTAATGTCTGCAACGAAGCGACTTGGTCGAGTAATTCCTGCTCTCGGCTCGAAGTGGTTGTGGACTCTGGCGGTTCGACTATGACATGAATATTCCTCTTAGGCGGTTTCTCAGTCCAGTAGTCTCCTATTTCTCTTGTTGCAAGGAGCTCGTCCCCTCATTGAGTGTGAGATTGCTTAAGAGATCGTCCTGATCGTCAGGAATTTCCCTTTTCCATAGTTTGAGCCTGTCTGCATCTATTCCAGCGAAGTCATTTTGTTTTTCTGCCTTGATAACTTTTTTGAGGTGGCCAACAAGCTGGTCCTTATTAATATCGACAGGAAAAGCGTTCGCTAGAGTATTTCAGTATTTCCTTTAACGAGGCAAAATAAAGCGATAGGCATATTTTCGGCTTATATAGTATTTTTTGCGAAATTTTATTGGTGCAAACTGGCGTATATGAGTAGTGATAAAACCCGTTTGAACACTGTTTGGAGCATTTACAGAAAACCGATT